CTTTTCAACTTGATCCACAAACATTAATTCAACATCGGAATTTTTCTTATTGGTTAAATCAATTTCTTGATCAATTTAATGTATATCCAAATCGAAAAGAAACAATGAAAATAACACATAAAATAATTTCAATACATGATTGGAAACTTGAACGAATGCAACCAAAACCTCAAAGAATCAGAAAATAGATAAAAAAAAAGTGTTTTTGTTTTTGATTTATTTGTTAAACTTTTTTTTACATGATATGTTCAAATAAACATTTATATTTTTACATAATGAAATTTTTGTTGGGAGAAAATCACATGCATTAGAAATATCTATAGAGTTTTCTCGTTATGATTGAAAATAATGTTGTCTTAAAATCCATTGTGTTTGAAAGTAAAATTAATTGATATGTTTCTTCCAAATCATTTATTTTGTCTAATGAAAGAAAATATTCGATTATTAATGTATCTTACCTTTTGATTTGGTCAAGATCTAATCAGTTAACCATGTATCATTAGACAAACTATCCATATTGATACTCTTTTTGATGATAGTTTATCATTGAGTTTCAAGTATTATGCTATAAAACAAGGAAGCATTTCCTATCGTGTCTTTATTATATATTCAGAAACTACGCGAAGTAGTACTATATTCAGTTACATCTATTATAATTGAAGAAACAGAGAAAAAGAAAGTAGATAGATGAACTACAGAATAGAAGAGGTCATGTTCGGTAATTCATAACTGATATAGATGGATATGATTAGAATAGTAGAGATAAAGTCTATTTCGGCATGATTCAATTATGATTTAAGCATCTGTACGCTAATTTCTCAAAAATTTAAACCATCAAGTCAATTCAGAGAAATCATGCGGTTCAATATTTGCTTTGCCATGACATGAAAAAACGTACTTCTTAATACTTGAAACTTGAGGATGACGACATTGTAAGATTAACCATGCATCATAGATCAATCATCAATTGAATTTGATGAAAAATATCTTTGTTAGAAAAACGTGGGAATATTTAAAACATAGAGTCTACAAAAGTCTAAGGGTACTCATACATAGTGATGACTCTTTCATTCATATGGAAACGAATTTGTCAAAATTCAAACTTGTTCTTGTCTTAGTTGTTGATTTCACAGAGTATCAGTCATACATGTTTCGTAGAAAACTGATCGATCTAATGAAGATGTCCCTCATAAGTTTACTCAATAGATAATAAAAGAAATTGAATGTAGCATAAGCATATATATGAAATGTACAATAACCATCCGATTAAAATAATCAATAGACTGTACATTCCTATTATCATATGAATACAACAGTATTTCATTCGAATTTTTTAAAGCATATAATTATAATAATACGATAATGTCATCGATTATTTTCTAGAAATGCTTTGTTTTATTATCAAGACTATAATTTTATTATTCTTCTCTTGACATGAATACTAAACATATCAGTTTACATCATTAACATGATTTTCGTCTTCGAGCGACGTCTATTATTAAATAAAATATAGCAGTATGATTTAACTTATTACCATGACTTTGGAAATAACAAAAAAAAAACTAATTAAGTAATTTGTTCATAACTGACTCTTATTTTTACCTATTTTTAATTACTTGACTCAGTTTTAATCATTTTACATACGAATTGTGAAATTTTACTTACGCAATCACTCTCATGCTTCATACTGTCCTTATATAAAATAAGCATAGAACATAAACATGTTATTCGTTCTTACCTTGATAGGAGAACACAACAATTTTATAGTATAGTTATCAATCTCGATAATCATGGATGACAACAACACAACAACAACAATAACAGATCAATTGAATTCTCTTCGTTCAATTTTACGTTCAGATGATCATCTTCAAATTCAACCATCAGGAGATTTTGAACAAGTTCGAATTAAACTTGATTATGATATACAAATAAGTTTTTTCTTTGATTCACTTACTAATTTAAATAAACCATTAACTATTAATAATTTACATGATTTACGTCTTAATAAATCATCAAATAAATGTCCATTAAATAATGAACAATGGACAAATATTCGTAAATATTTTGATGAACTTATTCAACAATCAAATGAATCAATGTTACTTCAATCAATTATTGAATTAATTCAAGATAATTTATTAAAAAATATAACAAAAAATTCAAAATCAAAGCATAAAACAAAAAAATCAACAGAAACTACATCATCCGAAGATATATCAACAATGACAAATAAATTTCGTGGTAGTGATTTAATATTTAATCGAATATTACATGATAAAACAATTGATCGATCACAAGTTATAATTGGCTATGAAGATCGTTTTACTGGCATACATGAAATTCCATTTAATGAATTTAAAAAAGTCCATGAACATGAGGTAATATAATTTAATTCGAATAATTGACCTAAATCATAATTATTTCTAGTATGGAGTTCCAATGCATCGTATTCGTTATTATAAAATCAATGGACAAATTGTATGGGATCGAACAAAAAGATTAGATATCCTAACGGGTAGTGATCAACTAAATGAAACATTTAATGGTATGAAAAAAAAAAAAAAAAATTTATTTTTAATTAATAACAATTGACCTTAGAAAATGTTATAATAACAAAGAATTTCTTTCTTGTAAAATATTATTTATTTTCATAGTCATTATCAAAATGATTTGAATTAAATCAAATACTTTTAGTGACTTTAGTTTTTGATGAAACAAAAGTTAACCGAGAAAAATACCATATTCTATCCTCCATCATAATACTAATTAAATGCTTGATATTTCATAGAAGCATTATACAGAGTTTGAATTTCATTCTATCTTTTTTTTTTTAAAATATCCTAGATACTGAACAAACACCCACTCTTGTACAAGGACTCTATCGTTTTGATCAATCACTTCAGCAATGGATTGAATGTCCACATATATCATTAACATCAGATGATTCGAAAATATTATCAACAAATGAAACATGTCTTCCTGAACGATGTCATTTTGTAACATGGAATACTTTATTTGACTATTATCAATCGACACTTATTTATAGTTCTCAACGATATCGATCAATACTTGATACACTTAAATCACTTTTACCTGATATTATTTGTTTACAAGAAGTAACTATAGATTTTCTTAATCTATTATTAAATGAAATATGGTTACAAGAAAATAATTATTATATTATTATTATGAAAAGTATTATTGATAATGATAAAAGAAAAGCCTATGGACAATTAATGATGATGAAAAATTTTCGACCTCGATCATTTTCAATATGTCCACTTGATCTATCTGATGATCATGATAGAGCAACAATAACAAAACAGAAATTAACAAAAGGATTAATTATAGCTCGATTTGGTTTAAATCCTAAAATAACAATTGATCTTGCTAATCTTCATTTACATAGTGATCTTTCACCTAATTCAAGTGAAAAACGTTGTCAAGCATTAGAAAATCTTTTTAAAAAAATGAAAACATATAATTATATGCTTATTGGTGATTTTAATTTTGGAGATAATCATTTAAAAGAACAAAATATTCTTGCAACATATGAAAATGAAGTACATGATTTATGGAAAGATATTTATCATCTTGATCAAGTATGATATTTAGATTTTATTAATAATTGATAAAGAGTTTCCGAAAACAATTTTCAAATTCAGCAAAGCTAAATATTTAAAACTTCGACAGATTATTGTTAGTGTTTATGAGGAAAGATATTCAAAGTGATACACTACTTTTAAACTGAAACTAAAATCACTCGATAGTTGGTTTTTGTCTGTAGGACTTTCGATTCGAAGTGAACTCATAATTTTAAATTTTGATCTAAAACTTTGTCCACATAAAGATTTCGTTTAGAATATTTCATAGAAAAAATTTCCAGATTTTTTTTCGAACTATGAATCTTTCAAATATCTATATTTTTTAAAAGTATATAATAGAATTTACTTTTGCTATATGCAAGAACAATGAATTTTAAAATCGTTACAGAACGTCTAGGACACTATTTATTATTGAATGAATAATAACAATCATAGAATATTTTGTTTTAGAATCCTGGTTTTACATTTGATCCATCAACTAATATTTGTGCTCGAATTACATCGAATTCAAAAACTAGCCGTCGTTTAGATCGATATTTATTACATACATTAGATAATCTTTCTTA